AACCCCCCAAAAAACCCCCCCCCCACCCCCCCCAACTCATTTATTTACTGCTATTTATATGTTGCTTTCTTTATTTTAGTTTTAGATGTGGTGCTATTTCTATTTGGACATTCATTAGCATTCCTTCTTGCATTTCTATGGCTGTATATGAGGATACATGGTGCTTCGATTGTATCTCACTCTGAGATGGTGTTCATCATCGACTTTTTCACCTCCACAACCTTCCCACCGATGTTGTCGCCATTGTCATTGCTGCAACCATCCCAAGCACAAGTCTAATTTGCTCTTCATGCATCCACCACAACCTCTCATCTCCCAATCGTCCTACCATTCATTCCATCTGTAACTTCTCGCCGCTAATCAGCCATCACTCTGTGATGGCTTTCTTGTGATTGCTTTTAGTCCCACAACATCTAGCTCCCCCACCACCTAACCTTCCAACTAAAAGCCATTGCCTACCTGCTGTCTCCCACTACAGGAAACCCCTTCTCCATCATCTTCCCTATCGCAACACACTTTCACTTACTCTCAGCTGCTGCCCCACTGCCACCTTTCCTCACCCCCTCATACAACCAAGCTTCCCACTTTCAATCACTGAACCAATCACCACCTTGACCTAAGCTCTAGTTTGACTTTGTGTTGTATTTTGTTTTTCCATAGTTTCGTTAGAAGTTGTATGTCCGTTTTCATTATGGTTAACTCATGTATCAGAGATTTACAAAATTAAGGGAATCAAAAGCTTGTGAAGGGGTTGATGAAGGGGAGAAAGACATGGTTTGCCTCTCTCAATGGAAAAAAAAATATTATCTCAGGAGTACTGATGCACTTCTGTAAAAGCGGACGAAAGTACCTTTTTCAATGGTCTCTGGTAGAAGCAAACAGAAGGAAGAGAAAGATGAAAGTTTCAGAGGACTCGTCTTCTGCAATCCCAACATTGCCTTCCGAACTAGCTCTAATTGTGCTTATTTCTTGACAATGCTATTGGGTGAAACCAGAAGAGTGAGAAAGGACAAAGATAAGATGAAACTAGGAGAGTGGCGAAGGAGAGAGTTTTTGGGCAGCTAGACTATGAAAGCTTTACGGATTTGTAATCGTACATTTTATTTGTGAAATAAGTAATATTAAAGTTAAAGTGTAAAATATATAAATACGAAAAGTGTGTGCTCAATATGTAAAAACCCTTATTTTTATGAGGAATTTACATACATCACCCAATTCTTGTGCATTTACTTGTCTCACAACTAAATTTTAATTTTTACACATAATGTATTTTTTCTTATGTATGAAAATGAGAAATGTAATTCATCTTTTCATATATAAGTTAGGTTTTTACAGTGTAAAAATTAAAATTGAAATTTAAATATGAGATAAGTAAAAAGTAAATGCACAAAAATTGAGTGCTATGTATGTAAATTTCAGTAATTTTATTTTGGCTTCCCGCAGTCCAAGCTTGATGCCCCGGTCTTCTTCATCCTCATCTTCGCGTTTCTCATTTCTCACTTGTTTCGCCTCTGCTCAGGGCAAGGAAGGGCGTGGATGAGGAAATTCTGATTCGGCGAAAACGTAGGAGAGAAAGAGACAGAACTATGCTTCCGAAGGACTGGACTCAACCGTGCGGCAACTGCTGCACTAAGAAATACGCAGGCGTCTTTATGATTCCTTGTTCGTTAGTCTCCTTGGCCTCATTCTTTTTCCATCTGAGTCTAGACTCCTTGTAAAAATCTCATGTATTTCTATTTCTCTTTGATTTGAAATGCCTCGAATCTGTTTGGCTTCTTGTAGATTCATCATACTTTTTTTTGTTATTTATTGAATGATAGTGACGAAGTTCAAGTTTGCTTGAAATCATGACGCAGGATTGACATATCCAAAGGGAGAGGAATGATAGACCATTCCCTTTGTTCCATTGAACTTTTCGGCCATTTATTATCTGCGACTTTGCTGACAATTTTATGAAACAAACTGGAAATTTAACTTGCCTTTGGTTCAAGCAGGATTAGATTTCGACTTTCTCTGCTCGCTTTATACTTTTAAATGCTTAAATTAATCTTTACTAGGCCATTGCAGGGAGAATCTTCTGTAAGAAGGGATGCAGTGCTGATGGGGACTCCTGGGATGAATGTAAGGATCTTTTCTCGGTGTTGTACTATTTTTTTCTCATCGCAGGATGCTACCTGCTTCTTTATAGGGTGGTATGTATGTAAAATTTGAAGTATATGTTAGATATGAAAAATTCATAGGAATTGAAGGATATGTAGGTAAATCTTCAAATAAATTTTGATGAATTAAATTTTTTCAAAATTTCATTTGTATGCAAGTTAAGTTCTGCCATTGCACTCTGGCACATTTGTACGGATGGTTGTTGCGAACATAGGTGATGAGAAATTGGAAAATAAGAATTTTTTAGCTTGAAGGTGAAATTCAACTCGGAATACAGGTTTACTATTCAGGTTTCATATTGTTAAGCCAGTCTCACTTAAAAATCTGATTTCCTTCTTGATCATTCATGTTCTCCTGTGTTTGGTTTGTAGGTCTTGAAGCATGCAATGAGTTATGCTACAAGGATCCAGTTCTGAAGGATCGTCAATGGACTTCTTTCATTGATAGATCTCCAGGGGATGACAATTATTCTTTGGTTGGTTTAACCATATCTTTTAGGAAAATTTACATACATACCACACAATTCTCATGTATTTACATATCTAACACGTAAAATTCCATATTTACATGCACAACTCTTTGGTGTGATGAACCCATGCATGAAAATGTCTTTTTCACTTTTAAAAAGTAGGCAATAGTGGTATTTTTAATTTGATATTAAAAATTTGAGTGCTATGTATGTAAATATGAAAGTTTGAGTGTTAGATTGTAAATACATAAGAATTGTGAGGTATGTAAATAAGCGCCCCTATCTTTTATTGGAGTTTTAACCATTTGATTTACAGATGGTTAACTTGTCCATCATTTAAGTCATCAGAGTTTTGAACATTGTTCTTGAAGATATCTGAAAATTTAAGGCTGATGTTTTAGAACATCTCTACAATAATCTTCATCATCATTGGATTTATCCCATCTAACTTGTGATTGGTAGAACATCTTCGATTAAGTGGCCACAACATTGACTTTTTAGTTTTCCAACTATGACATTCCAATGCCAATGCCTGTTCCTATTTCGAAGAGTCATTCTCATAAATGTGTATTTTGGAGAATATCAGCTGAATGCAGAACAAATAGAGTCTCAAACATCAGTACTTCTGATTTGAAAGTTCAACATAATCTCTTCTATTGATTTGCTGTCTTCTGAAGTAGTTTTTTTGGTCACTGTATTGCACATTTCCTTGAAATATCAAACATTTAAACTATGTTGTTAAAGCTCACATTAATTTTAGTCAATTTTTTTTATGTAGAATGTTTAAACCTCTTTCCAAGGTAAACTCCACATTTGTATAGGTATCAAACTACGGGTGAGGGTGAAAAATTATTATCTCATGGACCATGTAGAAATAACCTTAGCTGTCAATTTCATAGATTTATAATATTCTTGCAGTTGGTCATTACTTCACATACGCTACGGATAACCTAGCAGGATAAGGTGACTCTTCTTGAAATGCTTCCTTTTGTAACTCATGCAACTTTCTCGTGAAAATCGTGAATGTAATGTTTTTTTTTTATTACATTAATTTACGGAGTTGTTTGTTTACTGCGAATCAAGGGCTAGGAGATCTCCCATTTTCTAATTTTTTTTTTCCCAAGAATATGCATCATTAAGTTTAAACAAGTTTGACTTTCACTGCTTGCTTAGTTTATCATTTTTTTTTTATTAATGAGTATATCCTTACTGATTGGTTGCATCATTAAACCTATACAGTTTTGGCTTCAATGTGATCATTGTTAAACTGAACAATTATTTTCTAATACATATCATATTCAAGAGTAGTTTGAGGATTGCATTTGTCTTACCTAGTTTTCTGTTTGGTCTAATTTTCATAAAAAGGTTCTAATAATGATTAAATTTTACATTCCGTAGAGTCGTCATCCTGTGGGCTCGTCAGCCAATATCAAAAAGGGTTCCATAAACTTACATGTCATCGCACACAAACATACCAAAATTTTCACTTGTATAATATATAAGAAATATGCTATTTCATGTAGGCTTGTGATATGACAGATGTAAATTCATACAAGTCTAGGAAAAAAAATATCATAATTGTAGAATTAACTCAACTATACAGGAAATTTTACAGCAATAAATTAAGACAATTAGTGATATCATCATGAACAATAATTGAGGCCCATGGCAAGTACAAAATTATAATTGAAGTAGCAATGATATAACTGAAAATCCTATAAAATAACTATGGATCTATTACAAATGACAAGGATTAACGCCCCTTACTTGGAAGTGTATGTTTATCCTCTAATAATAAGTAGTTTCTTACTTCGAGGTGGCAAACACCATACTTTTACAAATTTGCCAATTCAACTAGCGATGCTACATCATTTAGAAAAAACACAATATAAATAATTATGCAGTTAAACTTATTCATTCACTAAATTTAGTGCAACCTAATCATCATTTATTTTTATCATTATTATTGTCATTAAATTAATGTTATAATATTTTTAAAAGTAAGAATTTATGAACCTGATTACTTTTGGCTTTAACTAACATAATTAAAATAATATTTTATTTTATTTTCTTATTTTGTTTGTGAGGATTCTAATTTCTAAAAATTTAGGGGGATTTACACACGTAACACTTAAAAACCAGTAAAAGTGACATCTTCAAATCCTACAGCTTTTTCCTGTTTCTCTTTGAGTTAGCTTTAAATCCAGGATATAGCAAACCTCCTTGGAAGATGGTCTTGCAGGATTTAGAGAAGTTGAAGTGCGCTTAAGGATAGTGGGAAGAAGGGAGAAAGACGAGAGTTACCTTTTTCAATGGTTTTCGGTAGGAGCAGACCAAAGGAGGAAGAAGTTTTGGTGGTAGCTGCACGCCTACGGCCCCATCGCTCCCTTCTCAACTAGCTCTAACCACGACTGTATCACGTGGGTTCGGCCACAAGGCTGATGGTTTTGGGTGAAATTGAGAGAGAGGGAGGAGGGAGAGGAGGAGGAGGTGATGCCCTTGGCACACTCTTATAGAGCGTTGAGGCGGTGGTTTAGCAAATCAGGAAGGCGGTAGGGGAGAGCGGGAAAAAATTGAAATCTAGAAAGGCAACGATCGAAGAAGAATAGTAGAAGATTTTCAGTGCTTACAATGATTGGGCATAAGAGATTGGGGAGATGCGAGAAGTTGTGATTGTGATGTGATAGCAACTTGTAAGCTTATTCTATCTAAATTTGTCGTGACAATAATCATATGCCCCTTTAATCGTGCTATTCTCATATGCATGCAATGTATATTAGTACGATCGTTCAACATTCTAGTACTGGTTTCATGTTGACCTGGAGGAGACGTTCGTTTAGGAGGTTTGATGATTAAATAGTGGATGTAATGTAGGCAAAATTAAATGATAAAGAATTTTTTCTTTTTGAACTTTGGCGAGCAAGAAACTTTCACAAATAATTAAAAAAAAGGTTATTACTAAAATAATCTTATAAGTGAAATACAATAAATTCATAGGCAATAATAAATTATGTTCCTTGGCTAAATTATCACATTTAGGTTACGAAAAGTTGGAAGCATAACTCTCAACTTGTAATAGAAGCTCAAGTAATTTTAGGAGATCATAAGCTCACTCTTAGGTTTAGGTTTGGCATGCAAGTGGTGTAATATTTGAACTATATGCAAATTTATTATATTTGTTAACCAACAAAACTAGAATAATCTTATATTTAAGCTTGAAGATAAAGCTACTAATTCCTGGTAACAGCCAAAGGGGGAAAAAAAAGATATACTTTGTTGCCATTAAGCACTTGACCAACACATTAGAACCTTAAAAGATGTAGGCTTGATCCTTTATCCAAAGGCTTCCTTAATGCACCAATAACTCTTCTTCAAGTTTGACTCCAAGAGCTTTAATACTAAATGATGCAATGTATATGGTGGTGTTTGAGGTGAAATTTGATAGTGATTATTTTGATTTGCTGTGAGGGGATGCAGGGATCCTAATGAAAGTGATTTGGGGTTTGAAAGGGTTTTATCAGGTTGAAATTCAAATGCAACTAGGATCTACTAGGGAATAATGAGATTTGGGCTAATTGTTAGGTGGCTATTTTTATGTGGAGCATAAAAGGGGCTTATTTGCCAAGATATGATAGCTGTAAATGTTCTTTGGAAAACTAAGGTTGTTAGGAATAATAATTTGGAGTTGTGTAGGGTGGATATGTTGATGTTTTGATGTGGAGAATGGAACTAAAGTCAGTTGATTGAGTTTAATTAATTTTGCGCGGCTTAGTTAATTTGTTAACAACTTGGTGTACAAATGTGGGAGCTTAAAGAGAAGCTCTAGATCACTTAAGATGCGGGTCTAGATGAAAGAAAGAAAGAAAAAAATCACACAAATAAAGTAAAAATAACAAGTATTAAGCCTCTCACTAAAGAGGGATATTTAAGGTCGCCAAACTAAGGATAAGGGGGGTTGCCACGAAGCATTTTTTAAGGTAGAAGAATGGCAACTTCAATTCTTTTTTACTTATAATATATTTTATAATATTTACAAGTATTACCCATAATGAGAAGATAAGAAAATAAAGAACAGTCAAATTAAGCTCATATTATATATATTTATATAATTTGGTAATAGAGCATGATGATCATATTGATATAAAAGGGGAGGTATAAGAACATATTGCATGACTCATAACAAAATAAAGATATAAAATAGGAATGAAATACAAAAGAAAGGATGGAAATATATATAACAGGAAATATAGGAAAAATAAATAAATCAATGCTAATAACTTCTGACACTCCCCATCAAGTTGAATCATAGGTCTCAGTTATGTTCAACTTCGATTTGAACTCGTCAAACAACGATCAAGGAAAATTCTTCGTGAGAATATCTGCTAGTTAGCCGATGGAAATGACAAATGGAACACAAATTATCCCTGAATCAAGCTTCTTGATAAAATGTTGGCCAATCTCCACGTGTTTTGTGCAATCATTTTGAACCGGATTATGGGCAATGTTGATGACGGTTTTATTGTCACAAAACAACTACAGAGGAATGAAGACCGACATAATGGTCATGATGCACAACCAGAGGACTTCACATACTCCTAGGGACAAACCGAAACTCTGCTTCAACATTGCTATGGGCAACCACAAATTATTTTTTTTACTTTTCCCTGTGATAAGGTTTCCCCACACGAAGGAGCAATAATTCGAGGTAGATCGACAATCATAGAAGGACCCGACCCAATCAGTGTCCATATAAACTGTAACAGAACGAGAGGTGTGACGTGAAAACAACAAACTTGAGCCCTATGTGCCTTTCAAATGGCGGAGGATCTGATGTACATGGGTGAGATGGTGCTCATAGGGATCATGCATAAACTGACTGATAATACCATCAACGTTGCAAATGTCTGGGCGCGTATGGGCTAGGTAAATGAGTTTTCTCACTAGACGTTGGTTGTGTCTTGTTCACCGGAACTGCATTGGGAACATCTGCCAACTTCACGTTGGGA